AATTTTGATACAATAATTTTTAAATCCATTCGGTAAATATTCAATAGTCTGTAAAAAATATAAATTTGCTTATAAAAGTAAAATATGCATTTCAAGTTGTTGTCTTATTTTTATCGTAATTTGAAGGATTATCGTTTTCTAATATTTCTTTGAGAAATGAGAATAWGAACTATAAGTATATATTTATTGATGATTATGTTTAGATGTTTAGTCACAAAACAATACGATCAATCAGATTTTACATAGGAAAAATTATGTCCAATRATTAAAACAAAYAACAGAATACTCGAAAAAATAATTGAATTAGGTATACCCTTATATTTTATTGACACATGGAAGTTTTGTTTGATAATACATTCGAACCAAGAAATGTATTGAACTATGTATCTAAACCCTCATGAATCATATAGTTGTTTTCTCATTGTTGTGATATAAATATTATTCATATTAACCTATTTAAAACGTGTTTAAAAATTCTTAATAGCAGATTTAGTGCGTGACAATCTGACATTTTTAATGGTCTAGTCTAAATTTGTTTCATATTACGCTAACCCAGCATAAACTTTCTACCTCTATAGTGTCTTTGAAACTGGCATTAAGTAAATCCACTATATTGAAAAAAAATCTCCCTTAAATAAAAACAAACTTTAATAATATTTCAAAATTAATTTTATATTTTGCGAGTAAAGAAATATGATAGTTTTAAAATATGGTTTTCCAATAATTTTTTAATTAGTTTCAAGGCTCTTACAATTTTATATGCGATGAAACATTTTACGCTAGACAAAAACTATGGGTATTGTTGTATTTTCTAACAAAAATGCTTTAAATTCGATTAATTATGAGTTATGACTAACAACAATCATAATAATCTTCCCTATAAAATGATTCAAGAATATCATAATTGGCAATTGCTTATACTTTGGTTTAAAATGAAAAACTAAAGACCCACTTAATTTTCCATTTTTATATTTAGTAGGTAAATAAAATTTATTAAAAAATATTGAAGGCTAACTTTTGAAGCTGTATCAATATTTAAAAAAAAAACGTATTAAGTGAAATTGAAAAACAATAAAATATTATATAAAATGGAATTACCAATGTAATTTTTAATTTCATAATTACTATATTTTTGTTTGAGTTAATTATTTTTACTATTCAACTTCCTTAAATGTTGAATATTATATTATAATTCGTTATAAAAATTATATTTTTATTGTTTATTTCAATAATGAAAATTAAATGGCATAATTGATTACTGATCCAACTGAAAATAGTCAAAGTGAATAAATAGATATAAATATAATAGTTCAATATTTGTATTCAAATATTGTGCATTAAACTCTAAATTTAAAAATATAGGTTATGCTATGGACTTCGTATCTTGGTTATAACTTATAACGATTTTCTCCCGTATTTAAAAAAAATAATAAAAACCGTATGTAAAATACTAAAATTTACTTAAATAAACAAAAAAAAAGCTCATCGAAATGTATTACAAAGTTTTTTATAGCAGCATCTCTAAATATTATATTCTTATCATAATAAAAATCATGATAAAATACCAACGAATATCCAAATTTATTGATGAATAATATAAAAGATGTTTTTCACACCCCAAGAAAATAAATATTGTGATACCGAAAAATAATGTAATTTATGTACCATATTATGTGATAAATTACTATTTGCTAATGGGGTAGATTTGTTTTATAATTTTATTCATTCGTATGCAGCGTTCACGTGATGTAGTATTTTCGCATGAATCATTATTAGTATTCACTATTGGTTTTTATTATTTAGTGTCTTTATAACATAGGCATGTACAATATGTTGGTCTGCCAATTATTTTGAATATGTCACATGTGGAACAATAAAATACAATTTGTTGGTGGTTTTTAAATTAGGTAATATTATTATAATAATAAACTCAAAGGTTTAATTCATGATGAGCACTGTTACTGTGTTACACAAATATTGTATGGATCAAATTTGCTAATTTTAAATTTTACAGTTTAACGAATTTTCTTATTTATAAATACTAAAATATCTAATCATGATTTCGTGTCAATCATCAAATTGTATCATATCCAATTTAAACATTATAGTAATATTTAAATTGTAAGTTTTCTATGTACGCTCGGATAATAATATGCAATTAACGTATTTATATGTATTAATATTTTTATATTTGCTAAACACTCATGATTTGCTCTTGCAAATCATGAGTGATTATAAAAGAGACCCCAATCATTGTATTAATATTTTTATATTCAATAAATAATTTTAATGACAATAAAACAAATTTTATACCATCATAACTTACTCTAATTTATTATTTTTGTTTATTAAATGTTTTATTCAATCTGTAAAAAGAACAATAAGAACAATTGAGGATGTATTAGAAAGTAGTAGAAAAAATAAAATAACAAGATATATAACAGAGCATAGAAGCCTCCCGTGGAGGTACTAAATTAAAAAAAAAAAACATGAGTATTAAAATTTAATTATTCAGTAGGTTTCTACACCATTTGCGCTTTAGCCGTTTGGGAGGATTTCAAGGGATAGTCAAGGAAGAGATTTCGTGCATGAATGGGTTTCTATGATTTAGAAGACGGTTATGGAATCTTTTGTAGTGTGTTTTAGTCACGTCTGCAACAAGGGGTATTGAGAGGTGGTGATAGAAAACGTAGTATGGTATTTTATTGATTTGTCTTAGAGTTTTGGATTGATAGGTTTGTATTCTATTGATGTTAGTAGATTTTGCTGATCCCCACAGCTGTATACCATAGACCCATATTGGTTTAAGTAGCACTTTGTAAATATGGAGCTTGTTATTCAGATGAATATATTTGGAGGTCAGTAGGTGTCTTAGTTGGCGGCTACGATCATTGAGCGTCAACCGTTTGGAGCGTATATGAAGAGCACAGGTGAGCCAACGGTCTAGGGTTATTCCAAGATATTTGACGTTTTGAGAGTAGGGTAGAGGTTGATTATTGAGGAATAGTTGTGGACATTCTCTGGGGCGTAGTGTAAAGGTAGAGTGGAGCGATTTGGTTTGGTTTAATTTTAGGCTCCATTCTGTGTACCATGAGACTAGTAGGTCAAAATGGGTTTGCATAAAGAAGGCAGCTTTGTCTGGGTCAAAGAGGCATGCAAGTAGTGGTTTATCGTCCGCAAAGTCGGCTACAATTGTGTTTTGAGTAGTAGGTTGATCTGCGGTGTAGTTACTCTAGTTAAGTATTTGTTAAGAATATTTTTTAGGAAAAAACATACATTTTAACGTTATTGTATATTACATTTTAATGATTAAAATTCTGGTTTATTTGTTTTTAGATCGTGTTATGTATGCGAGAAATCAACAATACAAATACAGCAAGGAACCAGTTACAGGCGGACAACCTATTACAGCCGAACAAGCAAAAGTAACTTATTTTTACGGTTGAATAACATTAAAAATTTAATCCGTTTATTGTTTACWTGAAAATGTATCAATAAAATTGTTTATATTTTAATGTAGGTATCATCTAAGCTTATTCAAAGAAAAACCAAATTTATGTTTTGAGTAAACCATAAATACCTATATTATTACAAACAATAATAAATTCCATTAGCCTATGCATTATTGATTATAATAATATAAAAATAATAGCGTACCTAATATAAATGTAAAATATTGTTGCATTATTTTATGACTGATACGCACCTGAACTATAGAATATATTTAACGTTTCCTTTGTTTCATCCTGTATTTTTCTAATACATTGTGTGACAAATATTTGATTGACCAGCATATTCATTGTTCTGACATTACAACGAAAATGTTGATTTTGATTTTATTATATAATGGTCTAAACTTCTTACTTTTTGTAATTGTTGGTTATTCATGTGTTATTCGTGTTTTGAATTTCTATATTTTCCATTATTTTATTCCCTTATCCAATATATAATATATATGAATRTATACAGGGTTTCCCACAGAGATCTGACATTCYGACAAATGAAATAACTTTTGTTCTAATCAATATTTTTAAAAAATTTCTTTTAAATATAATTCATAGACACTTGCGCTACATTTTTAGAATACATTTTTTATTTTTTATTTTTTAATACTGAAAATAAAAAACCTTAAAAATTGATAAAAGCTTTTTTCGAAATATTCAATATAGTCAATTTGTAA